GGAGGGGTTCAAGATAGTTTAAAAAAATTGAACTGATATGAAAAGTCAGTGCTTAAAAATGCATTATAGAGCCGGGCGGTGGTGGCGCACGTCTTTAATCCCAGCACTCGGGAGGCAGAGGCAGGCGGATCTCTGTGAGTTCGAGGCCAGCCTGGTCTACAAGAACTAGTTCTGGGAGACAGGCACCAAAGCTACAGAGAAACCCAAAAATAAATAAATAAATAAATAAATAAATAAATAAATAAATAAATATGCATTATAGACCAAAGTTCTTCAGGTCAAAGGAAGAACAGAGAAAACAACATAAAAAGCAATATGTTGGGGCTGGGAACACAGCTAGGCAGGTAAGATGTGCACTGGTAAGATGTGCACTGAGCAAGCGTGAGGACCTGGGTTCACATCCCCAGGACCCATGGAAAAGCCAGGAACAAGAGCTTGCATCCATAACTCCTAGGACTGCGGGTGAGGGGAAGAGGGGAGTGGTTGGGCAGGGGAGGAGTGGGTGGATTCTGGCTGAAGCAGTGAGCTCCAGCTCCAGTAAGAGCCCCTGTCTCAAAAAACAAGGTCGAGAGTGACAAAGACATTTACACCAACCTCGGGTCCGTGCACACGCGTACGTGAGTGGATACACTCCCCTGCACACACAGGTGCACGCAGCACACACACACACACACACACACACACACACACACACACAGCTGTCATTCTAACTGGAAAGCAGGGAGTACACACAAACTTAACCGGAACAACAAGCATCACGTTCCAGCCGGGTTCTCTCAACTTCCTACAAGTGGTTTGTGCAGAGCGCCATGTGAACGAGGCGGGAGACCAGGAGCTAGAGTCCTTCACAGAAAGAGAAACACCACTGGCAGTGGGAAAACATGAAACCAGCGTGTCACCAGGGCTTCGGAGAAAGGATATGACGCAGGAGGGTGCTGGGAAGAAGCTGGGGAAGTCACTGCTCCTGGGAAGAAAGGGTGGAGAAGGAAGATGCCCCTGCTGGCGGTTTTGGAGTTTCAGTGTTGAGAGGAAGAACAGGAGCATTAGTGCAAGATCTCACAAAGCAGAAGAACTCTAAACTAGACCAGATGATTCACGCTCAACCAAAGCACAAAACACAAAAGAAACCTCTACAGCAACTGCACTTCTCCCCAGGACTGAAGAGGGCGCTCTTAACCTGGCTAAACTCATTAGCCACCATTGCAGTCTGGTGATAGACAGGAACCGTCTCTGTTCAAAAAACCGAGGTTTTGCTGCCGGCCCCCCCCCACCCCCCCGCCTCTCCCCTCCGCACTTCAACCCTCCTGCAAGGTCCCCATGTTCCCAATTGACTCAGGAGATCTGGTCTTTTTCTACTTTCTACTTCTCGTGTAGATTATTTCTATGTAAGTCTCTCATTGTTGTCTAAGTTATCTGGGATTGTGGTTTGTAGGCTGGAAAAAATGTAGAGCTCAATAAAAATCATTTTAAAAAAAGAGAAAATGAAAAAAAGAATGGAAGGGATTCTGCAAGGCCTTTGGTAAAGGAAAGAATATGATAAAATATATTTAAATGTAGCAACTATTTTCAATAACAAGAAAGCAAAAAGGGGAAATTAAAGTTAAATTTTGACACCAACAATCTAAGTAAACATTAGCTATTTTACACTGCAAGAAAATAAACTTTCACATTCTGTTTTAAAAAAAAAAAACACAAGGTTTTATAGCCAAAACCTTGCAGTTTGGACAAACTATTTAAACACACACACAAATGAGAAAAAAGGGCACACAATAAATAATCACTTGAGGCTTTGGAGACGACATCTCCAGTCAGGAAACCAAAGCTAAGAACAGAAATGGACACAAAGAAGGAAGGAAACGAAGCAGCGGTGACTGAACTCAGGAAATCCATGAAGGAGAGGGACAGGACAGCATTGGGGAAAAAAAGCTGAATTTCCTGATGCCTGTAAAAGAATAGATTTGAGTAAAATTTAATAAAAGATAGTAGAGAGATTTTAAAAGTAAAAATGACATTTTTCTTTTCAAGACAAGGTCTGAGTGTGTAACCTGGCTATCCTGGAACTCACTCCGTAGACCAGGCTAGCCAACTCACAGAGATCTGCCTGCCTCTGCCTCCAAGAGCTGGGATTAAAGGCCTGACTTAAAATAAACTTTTGTTTTTGTTTTTGTTTTTTTTTTAAGCATAAAAGATTAAAACTAAAGGGGCTGAAATGAAGGTCCAAGATCTGCACAACTAGGGTCTCCAAAAAACACTGAGACAGAATTAATATTTAAAAACAGCATTCAAGATAATCTTACAAAAACAAACAAAACACACTTGAATATAAATATTGAAATGATACTCCAGCTACCTAAGAAAGCTGAGCCAACATGACCTCAAAACTTACCCAAATACAATGACTATATTTTAAGGATAAAAGAAAAATCTGCAGGCTCTCCACTCAAATAAACAAAAAGACTGAGCGTCAAACGAACCACTTCTCAGTGAGATGAAAAAGTTTTACATTTCTGTAGTTTCATTCCCTGGAAAGAATGTCAGCTCCTACCTCTCTCGATGTTTCTAGATTTTTATCAAGCTTATCCTAGAAGTAAACACATATGAACATGAACATACATCCCTGCCAAAGAGTGAGAGGACAGCACGCTCTTAAACATACATGATGTGGCCTGTAGGAACCTGAAAGTAATGAGAATTCCTTTCCTGATGCAGACTCTGGGCTGACCACGGATATCCGTGCTCAAGCCCCAATGCTCAACATCACAAAGGTCAGTCCCATTGCTTACGAGGGCTGAGGGTGACCACGTCCCAGCCACACTCGTGCCACAAGGCAAAGACAATTCCTGACTCCTTCAGCCTCCAGGCACAGTAAACACATGGCCTGATTGACAGGAAGCTACCGTTCCTCGGGTCAGACTTCCTATTGCACAGAGTTCCTGTGGGTTACAGGTCACTGAGCAAACAAGATGCAGACTGTGGTATTTCATGTCACCCAGCCTCCAAGAAGTGGGTGATAGGTTATCTGCCCAGTGCCGTCCCTCTGGTGTTCAGCCCAAGACAGGTCAGATAAGCCCATTATACCTAAACCTTTTCCTCTAATGGAACTTCAGGATAGAATCTGTGTTGAGGGTCATCCTGGCAATTGCCCACAACAGTGAAGATGATACTTTGTCTCTTAATCCTGCGCAATCCCATGCGGAAAGAAAGATTGAGACTTGGTTTCTCACCGCAAAATGTGAATACCGGACACAGCAAAGATGGTTGCTGTCTCAGCGGCACAGCGGCGGGGTCTCAGGGATGTGGAAACAGAGGAAGTGGGTATTTGACCATCAGGAAAAGCATATGATCAGGCCAATTTTAGCACGCTAGCTTCTTGGACATGAACATATAGGATTATTTTAGTTAGTCCTCCCTTCCTTCTTCCCCTTCCTTCTTTTGTCTCTGCCTGCGTGGACCCTGTAATTGTCCAGAAGTAGCTAAGGTGCATGTGGCTACAACAATACTACCTAAGACGTGGACTGGCAGAATCAGCGGGGCAGAGTTTGTTAGGAATTGGACTCAGGGTGCAGACCTGTACCCACTGACTTGGAACTCTAGGGACAGAGCCTATGAACCCGTGCCTTAATGGCAAGGAGCTCCTTGTCAGCTCCTGAGATAACCCCTGAGTGTGTTCATGTCTCGAAAACTGCAGTCTCCTGAGTACTAAGGCCAAACTACCTGCCCCCTTCCCCACCAGGAATGAAAGGGAACCAGAAACAGAGGGGTCCTGAGAAGACGGGGATAGGCCCTTCATTCTGCTGCTTCCTTCAAAGGGGCAGCCTCTTTTCCTAGATGTCCCAAAATAGGATTACTAAACCCAAAGAATTAAAGCAATGGTGAGAGGGGCCTGACAGTGTGGCTCAGCAGCAGAACACTTGCCTGGCTTGTACAAAGTCCTGCGTGGATGGGTTCTCTACGAAAAGAAGGAAGGGTAAGGAGGGATGGAAAGGGAAAGACCCTGTGTCCCTCAGAGCTAGCCAAGAGCTGACTGGTTAACACCGCTAGCCTCTCTGTGGCTTCCAGGGAAGCCCACAAAGGAAGAGTTTCGGAGGAGCCTGGGTGTCATCAAACTGCTACTCTGAGTCAGGTTGTTGGAAATAAGTTAATAAAAAAAAAAAATCTAAGAGGCTAGTGAACATGAAGCAGATTTTAATATATCATTTTCAGAAAAGGCAAAATAAAATAAAATTAAATTAAAATTTACAAAAGGCCAAATCACTGATCTGGCCCATGACAGTGTTTTTTAAGATCCTTGAGAAATTCCTGTCCTCTTCTTCTATAGTCTGGAACTTGTATTCTTTCCAAACTAGGTCTCATAGACCTAGGACACAAAGCCTCACCCAATGAACAACCTGGGGCTTGCTGCTGCCCCTCTCCCCTTTCCAGATCTTGGGCTCAGTCACACGGAACTCATCTAACTCTCAGAGGCCTGAGACAAACAGACTTTAGCCTCCAGCTAGGGGAGGGAAGGACTAAATGCTTCTGGGAACTCCAATGCACTCTAGCTTACCTCATATTGAAAATGGACCATAACAACCTATTGTTTAAATGTGTCCCTGCCCCTGCAATGACCCAACTGTGAGCCCTCTTGATTCTGCCAGGGCCCAACAAAGTGGGGAGATTTCTGTCTCCATGGAGATATTTCTAGTTGTCTCTATGAATATCCTCGGAGCCAGAACCATTTTCAACTTGAGATGAGAGACAGACAGCGGCTTCCAGAATTCTCACACTAAGGTTGCCTGGAATCCCCCACTTGAAGTAGCATCTCCTTGCCTGGTCCCTTTAGAAGGCAAAACGCTACCCAAAGGAACCGAATGGCAAGATTTGAGCATCCTGAACCAAAGTAAAGCTTGCAGTTGGTCAGAACTAGAACTCGGGGCTCTTGGCCGTGCCCTTCACGCTCCCCACATTGCACCATTCAACTCTCAGAGGGTACAACACAGAAGGCATCCGTCCGTGCCTACCTGTTAGTGCGGTTGTTAGGCTTATTTGTGCCGAGTGTGGCTCGGTGGGTCGCAGGAGGGTGATGTTTATTGTGTAATCAGTGGCTGGGTACAGCTCTAAACACACTTCCGGAGCTTGGTCTCTTGTTGTGAAGTTAAAGAAAGTTGCATGATAAAAGCTCTCCAGATACCACCTCTGACCCAGAACTTCCACCTGTCACAAGATGGAAAGCGAGGGTTGCATTAGCTTCCTGTTGGCTTGCGAAGTTCTAGACTACAAGTCCTTCCTTCGGATCTTAGAATTATCTTTAAGACACCAGCAAGCTAAACCGAGGACAACCTATCCTGCCCAGTTTGCCTCTCAGCTAGACGTAGGTCTACGATTAAATCGCACACCCAATGTTTGTTAGGAATAAACATATCTCAGAAGAATAAGACGGCAGGCTATTCTAAAGTGATCCCTTGGTGCCCACTCAAGTGAAAGACACTGTATTGAAGATACCGGACAAAATCCTTTCCACTTTTCTCATCACGGGAATCCATTGTGCAGGTACGGAAGCACTATGAGAACTGCCCCAGGCTATGCTTTTACAACAACAGAACAACGCTATTTCCCTTGCTCCTCCCTTCCTATCAGAGCTTGGGAAAAGCTGATGACCGTGGAGGAGTCATCCGAGATGGTGATAATTAGCTCATAAGATTCATCTCTTGGCCACGTCCTCCAATTCTCTCGGGTCCTTCTCTTGGTATCCTTAGAGATAAACTATCAAAAATTGGCCTCAGAGTTCCTTGAGCTCAGTGCTATGAATATCCCTCCACTCCAGCCAGCCACAGCCACGGTCCAGGGTCTAGACAGCATCACCGGCAGAGCTGCTCACAAGATCCTCGCGATGCCCTGTTCTTCTGGACCACTCTCTAATACAAGTAAAACGTATGTTTTCTTCTGCAGACAGCGTTTGAATATTCACTTTCCCCCAGTGGATTTATATATCTTTCATGTATTACATAAATTGATCTTTGACACATTAAAAGTTTAGTTTCTTTTTCAATTTTATTCTTCAATCATCTTAGTGTAGGGTGTGTGTGTGTGTGTGTGTGTGTGTGTGTGTGTGTGTGTGTATACCCGCATGTGGATGCCCGAGGCTGGATGGCTTCCTTTATCACTTGTACCTTACTTTTTGAGACAGAGTCTTACACTGACCCTCAAGCCCACAGATTCAGCTACCCTAGCTGGCCAACAGCCAAAGGGATCCTCCTGGCTCTGCACACATTTACACCTGGCTCTTTAGGTAATGATGGGGTCCACACTCAGTTCCTCATGCTTGAACAGCAAGGATTTTACCAACTGTGCCATTTCCCCAGCCCCTAGAATCACTTGTCTTCTTAACCAAGTCTCCGGCTAGCTATAATAAGACTTTCAACACTAATATGAAAAACCATTTTAATCTTAGAATAAATAAACTATTTGGGTCCTTGAATATGTATGTCTCTAGCCCCAGGGCTCTTTCCAACATGGAAATGTAAATACTCACTTACAGGCTTCCCACCAGTGGCTCCTCACGGGCATTCAGATTCAAAGCAAAGCAGGTCAGACTCCAGTCAGTTGCTAACTGGATCTTCACCCTCCCTCTTCCTACCTACTCCTCTTTGTTTCTGATATCAGCCACTGTGCCGTCTATGCACCCACAATGCCCTTCTTCACCCTTGCTTCAGCTAATTCCTGTTCATTTCCTATGATACAACATAGTTTTGGCTTCCTAAAAAATTACACCTTGGCAGGAGAAGATGGCTCAGCAGTTACAAGCCCTGGTTCTTTTAGAGGACCTGGGTTCGATTCCCAGCACCCATATGGTGGCTCACAACTATGTGGAAGGAACTCCAGTCCCAAGGGATCCAACACTCCCAGGCACATACACGGTGCATGTACATACATACATGCAGACAAAGCATACACGTGAAAATAAAATGTAAATTATTTTTAAAAATTATACCTGGGAACATGCACGTGTGAAACACACACACACACACATGGAGTCCCATTCCATTATTTTTATCAAAGAATTTTTATCAAAGATTCATTGCACCAAATTACAGTTGCCTATTTATTTGCACATTCCTATTTGTTTGAATTGAAACTTCCAGGTCATACTAGATGACATCCTCTTGCTAAATATTTGTGGAATGAATAATTAATTTTAACCTTATTGCACGCTGCCAGAGTTGCTAGGCACTAAACGTGACACCAAAGTAAATTCGGATTCCTTCCTAAATTTGCTTATGATTTGAGTTTGGGTGTAAAAGAAAACTATACTAAAGTTACATGAAAGCCAGCGGCCACACAATGAGTGTCTTAAAAAATGAATGCACAGGACTGGAGAGTCAGTGGTTAAGAGCATTGCCTGCTCTTCCAAAGGTCCTGAGTTCAGTTCCCGGCTCACAATCATCTGTAATGAGATCTAGTGCCCTCTTCTGGCCTGCAGACATACACACAGACAGAATATTGTATACATAATAAATAAATAATAATAAAAAAAATGAATGCACAATGTGTAGACTTGAGAGCAAATCAAGATGTAAATAGTAAATGCATTAAAACGTAAGTGTGAAATCGCAGGCAGGAGAATGATAGAAAATCACCAACTACACAGCACCTTCTTTCAACTCAGCTCCTCCTCGTGACCATCTAACATGCACTCATCTCTAGAAACAGCCACCACAAACAGCGCAGACGGTCCTCCCAGCAGGAGTCTTTAAATAGTCTGGACCAGCGCTCGGGAGGCAGAGGCAGGCCGATCTCTGTGAGTTCAAGACCAGCCTGGTCCACAGAGCGAGCTCCAGGACAGTCAGAGATACACAGAGAAACCCTGTCTCAGGAAAAAAAAAATATTCTGAACCATCCATCGGAGATAGCCCACATTTTTTGTAAGCAGAGTCGTGTTTTTATTAAAGATGTTTTAATATAGACTTGATGCTAGCGCACACCCAAACACATGGGCTGCAAAGAAGAGTCACAGTTCAGGGAAAAGATGTGTTTAATAAAGATTTGGAGCTCAGGGGTTAAGAGCAAAAGAGATGCTCGGGGAAAGAATGATGCATGCCCAGTGTGGGAATGAATCACTCGGTTTGCCCAGGGTGGGGATAAGTCACTCAAGTTTTTGAATGACAAATTCTATAACAGGTAAGAATAAGGGTTCACCTTACTTGATACATTTGTTCCGATCCATGTTTCATAGAACGCCTGTTCAACTTCAAACACGTGTCATTAAATACTGAAACATTGAGAATTCCACCATCTTCTGAGAGATCATCTTCTAGAAGACAAGGGAGCATAGAGAAAGGTCAGATCCCCAAGACGGAATGGGAGTGCAGCTGGGATTCTTCCCAGGGCCGGCAGGGAGTTAACAGGAAGAGCATCCATTTACAATGGTATTACAGACTTAGACGCAAACACTGGCTCTATCGTTGGTTCTCGTTTGAGTGTGTGTGTGTGTGTGTGTGTGTGTGTGTGTGTGTGGTACTCTCAATTGCTCTCCATCTTAATCTTTAAGACAGGGTCTCCTACTGAATCAGGAGCCCCCTGATTCTGCTAGACCATCTGGGCAGCAAGCATCCAGGATCCTCTTGTGTCTGTCCTCCCAGCGCTAGGACCACAGGTGAGCTCTACTTCTGGGCATCTCATGTGGGTTCTAGGAAATCGAACTTGGGTCCTCATGCTTACACAGCAAGCGATTTAACAACCGAGCCATTTCCCCAGCCCTTGTCTCTCTTCTGGTTTTTCATTTGTTCAGGGTTTTGTTTTGAAGATTTATTTATTTTATGAGTGTTTTGCCTGCATGGATGCCTCTGTACCGCACGCCCACCTGATGCCCTTGGAGGCCAGAGAAGGCATCAGATCTCCGGAACTAGAGTTACAGAAGTTGTGAGCAGCCATGTGGGTGATGGGAACCAAACCCAGGTCCTCAGCAAGAGCAACAAAAGATCTTATCACTGAGCCATCTCTCCAGCCCCCTTGTCTTGTTTTTTTGAGACTGGATCTCGCTTTGGACTTGCTACGTAGCCCAGTCTGGCCTCTTCTCCTAATTCCTCTCCCTCAGCCTCTAGACCTGGAATTATGGGCACGCACCACTACACCAGAAACGCATCTGTTCCTGAGTTGTATGAACCCAGTGAGGTTCAGAAGGGTTTCTTACGAACTTTAACTTTCTCACTTGTGAAACTGACATATCCAGCTTGCTTTCTTACGTCATGGGCAATCGGGAGAACTGTAGCGTAAAAAATAAAAACCCAGAGACAGATATTGGGGTTCAAGCTGAAGATCAGAAAAGCAAAGCAGCCAGCCACTAGAGAGACCTTGTTCCTCTACCAGATCTGCAGAACGAAAGGGCGAGATCCTGTCTCCACAAATCCTCAGACTCCACACTCCACCGAGTTCCTGTCTCTTCCCCTTTATATTCCTCTCTCTGCCCAGCCATATCACTCCTGTCTCCACCTCCCTGGTGCTGGGATTAAAGGTGAGAGCTACTACCACCTGGATCTCTTTCTGGTCTGGATCAATCTTGGGCAGCCCAGGGTACCCTTGAACTCACAGAGATCCCTTAGCCTCTGTCTCCTGAGTTCTGGGATTAAAGGTGTGTGCCACCACTTCCTTGCCTCTAGTGGCTTAGCTTTGCCACTAGATTCTGATCTTCGGGCAAGCTTTATTTATTAGAATACAAATAAAATATCACTGCCGAGAACCAAATGAAATACTGAAATATTGCAGTAAACTTCTAAAGCTGTGACCTCTGTAACAGGTAGGACCAGGCAAAAATGTCCTCAACCATATCTGTGGACAGACGTCTTGAGAAGGAGGGAAATGGTGAGAGGTTAGGAGCCTCCAGGCTGGTGCTTTTCAACAGAAAACGACCAGAAAGAAGACACGGCAGCAGAAGAGACATGTTCTCATAGCAGACAGGGCTTCGCCAGCTACTGAGCTGCATTCAGCTTCATGTTCCGGCTTGGTGGGAGCCTAGCCAGTTTGGATGTTCACCTTCCTAGACATGGATGGAGCGGGGAGGACCTTGGACTTTCCACAGGGCAGGGAACCTTGACTGCTCTTTGGATTTGAGAGGGAGGGGGAGAGGAGTGGGGGGAGGGGGAGGGAAATGGGTGGCTGGGAGAAGGCGGAAACTTTTTTTTTTTCTTATTCTCAATAAAAAAAAAAAGAAAACAAAATTCTGAGAAAGAGTTCAAGTTGGCGAACAGAAAAAAAAAAAAAAGAACCAGGGAGAAGGCTGGTTCTAATCATTATCTAGAAAAAGTCATTCCCTGCCTCCTGTGGGTGCAGAATTCCTGCGATCCTTTATTTTCTTAACACAGCCAAAAAGAAGAGAGGCTACAGGATGAATTAAAGAGCTCACTTCGAGTCTAGGAGTAATTTCTCAGGAAAAGCAAATTTCCTAACAAACAAGCCTTTACATTCTCTACCAGTGAAAAGGGGTTGTTTTTCTTTATATGGTGCTGGGGATCAAACCCTCAAGTTCACACAGACGAGCCGTGCACTGTCCCCTGAGCTACATCTGTAGCCTCAATTGAAAGCTTAATCCTCTGTTAGGGTGACTCTCTCTTACATTCTCTTTCAATATATAAGTCTCTCAGGGGAGTCCGTGTCATCTAAGAAGTACTCATGGCAATGGCAAATTATCCCAGTCAAAATCAGGATTGCCCAAAGTGTTTTCAATATTGCTAACATACGCGGCACAAGGCATTAGCTGAGAGACAATACTCCTGACCATAACTGGGAAATGTGAAAGGATGGTTCTAGGAATGTGAAGACCTGTCATAGGTCCTTCATCTTTGCAGTGTTTAAAGTTTTTACAAGGATGTCAGAGGGGGAAAGACAGCCACAGGATTTTTGAGGAGCTTCCAACGCATGCGTGTATGAAATGTACAAAAGAAGCAGCACATAAAGCCCACGACTGTACACAAACAAAACCCAAGCAGAAGTACTGCCTGCAGGGTCCCACGTAACACAGCCAGCCATTACAGTCTGAATTCAGAGGGCGGGTTCCCACGTAACAGCCATTACAGTCTGAATTCAGAGGAAGACGGTGCTAGGAACAAAGGCATCTGGCTTCTCCTTCCCACACCCACTCCTGACAGAAGTGACTGAGAATAACTAAAAATGGGTCAAAATTTGCATCTGGGTCGGAAGCAAAGGTTGGTTGCCATATGCAAGGTAGATGTACAAAGACATCTACGCTTACTTAGCCCAGCATAAAAGCAACCGGGCTGTGGGAGACTCAGGGCGACAATTCAACCTGCCTTCCAGGCAAACGAGCAGGGTCTCCAGATTTCAAAGGAAGGACTAGAGAATTTGAGCCCGTAGACAGGTCACAGGACAAGTCAGTGATGAATGTCCTTGTGGAGCCATGGTCCATTAGCCCTAAACCTAACTGCATGTCAGAACCACACAGACAATCTAAATGGTGTTGGTCTCTACGGAGTTCACCAGACAATTCTCAGGCCCTGTCCTGCTTAGCTTCTGAGACAGGGGAGACCAGGCACCTTCTGGGTGGTCTGGCTATAGACTCACCTGGCAATTCTGAGGGGCAGCCAGGGAAAGAAGTGTATGCACTGTCATTGCTAATGCCATCGGCCTGTCCTTAGCACATTGGAGATCAGCAACAAGGCAGGACATCTTAGTGGAGACCCCAGGCCCAGGGAGCTGGGTTGATTGACAGGACAGCCTGACTGCTGCCTCAGTAGGGGCTGCACATCCTGAAGCCAAGCAGCACCCAGAGAGCCAGTGCTCGGCAGGTCAGGGAAACTGGAGGGGAGGCGTGGAGTGGGTGAACGACTGGACAGACGCACAGACCACACAGGGACGTTATCTGTGGGGGCAAAGCAGTGGGTGAACGACTGGACAGACGCACAGACCACACAGGGACGTTATCTGTGGGGGCAAAGCTTAATTCTTCATTTTCTTTTTCTCCTTCTGCCGCTCCTACTGTTTTTTCCCTGTTCCGTTCTTCTCCCTCCCCCTTTCTCCTTGTTCTTCTCATTCTTGTTCTTCTTCCTCTTCTCCTTCTTACCTGCTGTTCTCCTTCTACTCCTCTTAATTTTTTCCTCGTCCCTTTTATACCTCCTAATGCAAAGACGCAAAAGGCGATCACCCCACAGCCACAAGTGAGATACTTTCCAAAAAACAAATTAGAATCTTTGCACAGGAAGAGATCACATTAGGATCACAAGGTAGATGTTTTTTCCTTAGGAGCCCACAGGTGGTTAAACATTTCCTTTTTTATCAATTCCCCCACCATAGATAGCGTCTTCACCCCAGAGCAATGATTCCTTATTACTGACTAACGAAGTCTGAAGCAAGCTAATAGATTTCAGCCAGCTCCTTTAGTCCTGGCAGGCTGCTGCTTGTGGTTCCAGCGTGTCAGATTCCTACAAAACTTTATTCTCGTGGTCTAGCTAATCATCTACTTTTCTGCTGCACACAATAGCGCCATTTAGTCTCCTCTCATGATTTTCTTCTTTAAGGTGCATCCCGAAACCTGTGATTAATTCTGTAAGCTGGATGACCGAGGACCTCGGGCCTAACCCTGGGTGCAGGGACATAACTGCCTTCTTTGATCATCTGTCTGTTTTCCCACAGGCAGAGTTCACGGTCTATAAGGCATGAAAAGTTCTTGTTCTTAGTTTCCATCCGCAACTCTCACATCTAACAAAGGGGAAGGAGACTTCCAGCCTGATTTTGTCTTGTGTGTGTGTGTGTGTGTGTGTGTGTGTGTGTGTGTGTCACTATTGGCAGAATAACCTAAAAGCATTTCCCTAATCAATTTTACTGAGTGTCCTAACCACTTGTATCTTTTGGGCTAACTCAGAAAGTCCAATGAAATCATAGCTCTAACTAATCATCACTGCTCTTATAAAAATCATCTTCATTATGATCTGTAAGTAAATTGCCCAGTGAGGAGTGGGGTTTTTTCATGAAACGATCACTCTATACTGGATACAGTGGGATCTGTTCACACAGTAATCACAGTCATTGCGCCAAATACAGCAGGAAGATGACAGTAACAAGCAAGAGAAAGTACAGCAGAAGCAGGTGACGTTCTGGAAACAATCTCCCCGGGACTTTGCCTCTGCAGGGTTTATCACCATCGCTTTGCTATTTGGTGGCTTGAACTCCACAAGCTCCTCTGACATGGCCCCCGAGGCAGTGCAGAGCTGGCCCACAACTAACCGCTTCACAGGTTAATGGAACAATGAGCTCAGAAAGTAAACTCAGGGAGATGAGCTTCCCCCACAGCGGCCAGTCAAA